TATATATCTATGTGTGTGTGTGTGTGTGCATTGTGTGTGTGTGTGTGCGTATATATATATATATAGTATGTATGTATGTATGTATGTATACATGCATGTCTGTTTCTGAGTGGTTCTCACTTGTGTGCAAAAATAGTCATCGACAGTGCCAGGAACCTCTCCTGAACTCAAGGATTGGTCTGACGCCAGATGTATCATAATACTCATTGTAGTTGTTAAGTTTGACTACAGGTTCCACTCAATCGTACGATCGCTATACACATAGCTCACACTCTAGTGTTTTCACCAATACTTTCATCAGGAAACCCAAGACTTCAGTCGAGCCATGGCGCTGTTTGTCACCGGCTACCTATCCAACAACTTGTGCCTGTATGAGCAACCCTCCCCATCCGCACCCCCCAACAACATCACACACGCCGAGACCTCTATATCCACAGCCCACAGAAGTCAGGCAGAGAAGCACGCCCAGCTACTGGGTGGCCTAAACATGCTCACCAAACTGTGTTGGCTGCCCGACGATACCGATAGCACCACGCTGACGGTGGTGCTGGAGTTCTTTGCGCGGTTGCTCAGCGACGCGCTGCCGAACGACCGCAGTGAGTGTGGTCCCGAACAGCCCCGGCTGCAGATCCACCGTGAGCTGTATGCGGGTGCGGTAGGCGAGTTGCTGAGTGTGCTGGCCGAGTGTATACCGGTGGACAAAGCGGGACAAACCGGGACAGCGCGGCCCGAGCTAAAAATAGACGAGGCGGTCGACTGGATCACGCACAGCTCGGCGGCTTGTATCAGGGTGCTACAGCGTATAGCGCATATGGATGCAGATAGAGACGGGGGCAGGCGTACCAGTGGGTGCGGCAGTGGCGGTAAGTCTACCCGGGGCTCCCTCACCAGCACGCAGACGCATACGCTCGGCGTTGACGGGGAGATTGGCGGAGACGACGCGGAGGTGAAGGACCGCAACTTCTACATTGCGCGGGATTTGGTGGGGATGATTGCCCACGCCTATCCGGATATGGCGCAGGCTATGTTATTGGGCCAATTGGGAGAAGTGGTATGTCAATGGATTGTGAGCGTGTGTGTGGTGGGGGGGGGGTATAGTCCGTTGCGCATGTATGTGGCTGGTTGGCTCGGTGTTGTGCCGTTGTATAGCACGCGTATAGTTCTATGAATCGCAAGGGATTTGGTGAGGACGATTGCCTACGCCTGTCCGGGTCTATCGCAGACCATGTTGTTGAGCTACTTAAGCGATGCGGTATGTATATTGGATGTATATTGGATGTATATTGTATGTATATTGGATGTATATTGTATGTATAATGGATGTGTACTGTATGTGTACTATATGAATACTGTATGTATATTGTATGTATATTGTATGTATTTAGTATGTATATTGTATGTATATTGTATGCATACTGTATGCATTTTGTACGTATATTGTATATATATTGTATGTATATTGTATGTATATTGTATGTATATTGTATGTATATTGTATGTATATTGTATGTATGTTGCATGATTGTATGTATTTTGTATGTACACCGTTTGTATATTGTATGTATACCGTATGTATATTGTATGTATATTGTATGTATATTGTATGTATCTTGTATGTATATTGTATATATATTGTATGTATATTGTATGTATATTGTACGTATATTGTACGTATATTGTATGTATATTGTATGTATATGGGTAAGGACTGCTTCCGTCAGTTGACCCCGCTGTGCATAGGTGCTGGCATGCACGTTTATATACGTTAAACCTTCAGATAAAGTATGTATATAGCTATGAACTAAGTTTATATACATTTTAAGATAAAGTATGTATATAGCTGTTAACTTAGCATCCTTCTCGTATATACCGGTTACGCAACCCCTCTCCCCCCCCCTAAAAAAACAACAAGACATAAACCACTGAACAATAATTTGAACCTAGTCACATTTACAACTGTTCAATTCTTATTCCACCGCTCCCTCTCACTATCTCTCTCACTCACTCTCTCTCTCTCTCTCTCCACCAATCAGGTCAAGGCCACCCCCACAGATGCCAGCATGACCTCTCTGCGGCGTGTGTGCCAGTGCATCGAGTCCATCGGTACAGAGGGTCAACCGCCTGTACCACACCAACATCAACTGATCAACTCAACCCTAGGCATCCTGCACCCATACACCATCGGTCCCACTACCCCCACCCCCACCCAGCAATACGAGACCCAGGTGCGGGTGGGAGGGAGTGGGGGGAGAGACGGGGATAGGCTCAGGGATACAGCTCAGCGTGCACGCGTGTTGGCGTACAGGTGTGTGTTTGTGGGGGTGGTCCTGGCCCATGCCTCGACCATCCAGAAGACCGCGGACACGGTTGCCATGGTGATGCGGATGCTGTTCGAGTGGATCTACGAAGCGTCTAGAATGTTTGCGCCTGGCCAGGCTAGTAGTCGTGGTGGAGCCAACGGCTGGGCCGGGAGTGAGTGTTATGCGTTGGAGAGAGAGTGCGCCGAGGTCTTGTGTGTGGGATTTGAGAAGCTCTGCGGCTACGAAGGCGTACAGAAAGCGCTCACCGAACAGGACGGTGTACGTAGCCTCGTGGACGGTGCAGACAGGTGTGTTCTGTACACGTATTGCTTACCCAGCAGGGTTCCATGAAACGGCGTACGCGTATGATATGACTACTGGTAGTATGTGTTCATGTGTGCGTACGTTTACACGTTGGATGTTTCTGAACGTTCCCTTTTTGGAAGTATGTGCGCATGTGCGCGTATCGGCAACGGTAATCATTCGGTTATGAACGTTTTGGGATAGGTAGGTCTGACCGTTATCACAGCGGCGATTCAGCGCAAATCTGGCCGATCGTGTTGAACTTGCCAACGGTCAACTTAGTTTGAATATCACGGACGTAGCAGAATATACCCATGAATATATATCCATGAATATATACCTCCCGATCATGCCTATGAGTTGCACATACTTCCGCATCTATATATTTATATTTGTATATATATCTAAATATATGTATA